TTCTCCCTGTCAGTTCACAGTTGATTTTAGACTCCTTTTTTATTCTCTCATGGGACTTTTCATCAGTTGAAGTAAAGGATTGCTTTTCATTAAGTCAACCTTTGTTTGTTTTCCTTAGAAGTATGCAGAAAGATGAAGCAGTGCATTATATGTGTGTGGTCAACATTAGAGGGTTAAACCTCAAGAGCTGCTGTATTTTTACCGAAACACTTCCTCTTAACTTCTCAGAAAGAATGACTTCAGAGGTGGAATTGGAAACCAAAAGGTCTCAGACCACTAACACATTTAATCTATGTTCTCATCTCACAGCTAACAGTGGTCACTGCTGCAGTGTCATCATGTTTCATTGCAAACTTCAAGACTAAAATTCTGATGTGTAATAAGTTTAAATCTTGACCTCTTTTCATGTGTGCAGACAAACATCACCATGGACACTGTTAATCCAAACACTTAACTCATCTAACAGTCTTCACACACTTAACTTTCTCTAATCTGTTGGTAGTCAAGACAACATCTAGACAATCATGTCAATAGATGACAAAGGGAGCCTGCAAAATGCATTGGATATAAAAGTTAAAATATTAGAAGTTTTTCACTCAGCTAATATCTACAATAGACAAAAGGAGGCTCAGATGCTTAAAAGCCATGAAATATAAGCTTTGACGCTCACTCTTCTTTTGACGACAAAAAGGTGAATATCACACTGACACTTGATCGTGTTTGTGTGGAGAAATTCAGTATGTCAGCTGTGGTTTACTGAAGTCTGAGTCAGAAGAAGGCCAGAAGAGCTCTTAGATTCACATATAGACACTCACTACAATAAGAACTCCTCTCATGGAAAATGTTGTTAATGCATCTGTCTGGCAGTTTCACATATTTTCATAATCTTTGCAGACCAGTTGTTGTTGGCTAAAATCCCTGAGCTACAGTAACTAAGATGTTTGATGGTTTGAGATGTTCAGGTTTTTTTCAGTATTATTACCTCCTTTTAAATCCCATTTATCAGTGTTTAATTAGAAAGGTCACTCTGGGGCAAACACAACGTCCAGCTGCTCTGCACTGAGGAAAGAAGGTACACTTCTTTGTTTCATGCAGATTATTGCAATGATGTTATGATATATTGAGCAGGCAGCTGCCCAAGTTAACTGTGACTATCACCAGTTAATGTGGGCGTGTTTCCTAAATCAGCGGCAGGGGTTAGTGAACAGGATGTGAACAGGATGTGAACAGGATGTATGTAGGCAAACTCCAGAATCCAGCGAGCTGAATGGTAGTTTGTGAGAAACACAGAGTTACGAACTGAAGTGGAAGACAATTAATTTTTTATATTACAATTATTTTATTGTTTATGTTGTGTGAAGATAGTATTGATACATATATGCATTTTTACTAGCTGAGACTTTTGTTTTCTTTTAGCCGAAGTCTTTAATCATGTCAAACTGTATGGCACTAAGGTGACCCTGGAGTAAAAACGTAGTAATTAATTTTAGTTGACACATATCGATTTGTTTCTCCTAAATTGTTAATAAGTATTGATATTGTTACAATATGTTAAATTATATTGTGTACAAAACCGTTTTGATACAGTAGTTAAAACACACAGAATGCCTGCAGCCATTATGGGCTATAGAGGGATAAATGCATTTCTTTACCCAGTGTGATTCCAAATTATAATCAGACAGCAATTTTTTAAAAGTACCTGCTATGTGGTAACAAATGGTGGGAAACCTAAAGACAGTTCAGTCACACACTCAAGGATGTGGTAACCATTTATCTGTCAGTGGCTCATCTGGTCATCATGAAACCTCCAGCGCTCTGTAGCTCTTGTACCCACATCACCAACGCATTTCCCTTTCACTTCTGAGAGAAAAAAATGACTTCATAGGTGCAATAAGACACCAACAGGTCTCAGACCACTAACACATTTCATCTGTGTTTTATATAGCTGCTAACAGTGGTCACTATGAGGAAGTGAGCAGGAGGAGTCTCTGAGACTATCTCATTTGTGAACGTGAGAGCAAGAACAGAGACTGAGAGAGACAGAGAAGCACGATGGCTGCATTCACATGGATTCAAATGTCTTCATTACTGACACTGATGCTTCAGTTTAAAGGTAAGTGTGCATAGAAACACATTCAGTTAATAAACTGAATTATTATCACACGTTACTTCTTTATTCTTCCTTTAACTGAGAAAGCCATGATAAACCTTTTGACTTTAGCTGACTATTAGAAACTAAAGTTGAATCTTAAACTTGTGTTGTATTTAAAATAAACTTCACATTATAAACAAAACACTCATATTCATAACATATTTGATGTTTCACATTTCTCTCTCTCTTTTTCTCAACAGGAACAACCGAGCAACATCAAACTGTCACAGCTGGATGTGGACATGATGTTACTCTGCCTTGTAACACCTCGTTACAAGGTCAGCATAACTGTAGCAGTACTACCTGGATCTTCAGTGATTCAAGCACCACAGTATCACTCTTTGAACTTGGGCAGAATAAAGAAGTCAAACGTAAATCAGACAGACTGAGTCTTTCTGCAGACTGTTCTCTGGTTATAAAGAAGGTCACAGATCAGGATGTTGGTCGTTACACCTGCAGACATTTCAAAACAGCAACAGGATCACAAGAAGGTTCGGACTTTATTATTCATCTGTCTGTTATTAACAGTGAGTATTTACA